ATTTGATTGCCCCTTTTTTAAATTTTTGAAGAAAAAACATTTAATTAATTAGTTAGTTAGAAGGAATGAAAAAATGAAGAAAAAATATGAAATTATAATAAAGGCAAAAGTTGAAAATAAAAAATGAGTTAAATTAACAAAAATAGAATAAAAGAAATACAAACTCAATAAAAAAAAAGAAAAAAAAAACGGAAATCAAATAAATTAAAATATTTTATTGTTTTAAATTCATTTTTATTTTAAAAAATATTTCATCCAAAACAAGTAAACTATTTTTACCCAAGTTCAAGTGTAAAATTTAAGAGTTTAGTGCAATTTACTAAAGCAGAAGCTAATCCTGATGCACCAATCGCACCAATTTAATTACCCCTTTTTAAGAAAAAATATATGATTAATTAATTAATTCTAAATGAAAAAATGAATAAAAATAGGGAATAATAAGAAATGAATTAATTCATAATAAAATAAAATAAAAAATTAAAAAAGGAATTAAATTAAAAAAGATAGAGGAAAAAAACATTAGCATAATAAAAGAGAAAAAAAAAACCAAATTTCTATTAAAATATATCACAATCCAAAACAAATAAACTGATTTTACTCAAGATTAACTTTCAAATTTGAGAGTTTATTGCAGTTTGCTAAAGCAGAACTTAAACCTGATATACCTTCATCACCAACTTAATTCCAACTTTTTAAATTTTGAACAAAAAATAATTAATTAATTAGTTACAAGGAAAAAATGAAGAAAACATATGAAATAATAAGAATTGAGTTAATCATAATAAAAGCTAAAGTTGAAAATTAAAAACAAGTTAAATTTACAAAGATAGTTTGAAATTTAAAAATAAACAATCCAATTTAAATTTAAATTATAATTCAGAAAAACAAATAAACTATTTTTACCCTAAATTAAGTGTCAAATTTTAGAGATTAGTACAATTTGCTATAGCAGAACCTAAACCTGATGTACCAGTTGAGCCAATTTTATTCTATCTTTTTAAGTATTAAACAAGTAAAATAAAGAGAAAAATAAAAATTAATTAATAGAGCTCTATTGTTTTAAATTCATATTTATATAAAAAAATATCTCATATCAAAACAAATAAACTGTTTTTACATAAGATTAAGTGTCAAATTTGAGAGGTTAGTAAAATTTTTTAAAGCAGTGGCTGTGGATAAGCCTGATGTACCAATTACTCCAATTTTATTATTACTTTTTAAGTGTTAAAGAAAAAATAAATAATTAATTAATTAATTAGTTAGTTAGTTAGAATGAAAAAATAAATAAAAAATATAAAATAATAAGATATGAATTGATTAATAATAAAAGCAAAATTTTAAAAATGATTTAAATTAACAAAGTTAGAAGAAAAACACACAAATACAATAAAAATGAAAAAGATATCATTAAAAAATATCCCAAATCCAAAACAAACAAACAAATAAACTTTTTTACCCAAGATCAAGTTTCAAATTTGAGAGATTAGTATAATTTCTTAAAGCAGAGCCTAAGCCTGATGTCCCTTCGTCACCAATAAAATTCCTACTTTTAAGGAAAAAATAAAGGAAAAATATGAAATAATAAGAAATTTAATACTGAATAATAAACATAAAAGTAGAAAATAAATAAATAAATGAGTTAAATTAATAAAGATAGAAAAAAAACATTGATTGGTACAATATAAATAAAAAAAGAAAAATAAATCAAATAAATTAATTTAAAGAGTTTAAATTCATTTTTATATATAAATATATAACAATCCTAAACAAATAAACTTTTTTTACCTTAGATCAAGTGCTAAATTTGAAAGGTTAGTGAAATTTACTAAAGCAGAACCTAATCCTGATGCACCAATTGCACCAATTTAATTACCCCTTTTTAAATTTT